GGAGTACACGAGAACGCCACGAGGATTCCACGTGGTGGCCACGTGGTGGCGACGTTATGGCCACGAGGAGTCCATGTGGCGCCCACGTGGTGGCCACGAGGAGTCTACGTGGGCACAACGTGGTGGCAACGTGGGAGCCACGTGGAGTCATGATAGAGGCCATGTGGTGGCCACGGGTAGTACAAGTGATGGCCACGTGGAGTCCATGTGATGGCCACATGGTGGACACATGGTGGCCACGTGATGGTCACGAGGAGTACACGTGGTGGCCATTCGGTGTCCATGTGGTGGCCACGTGGTGGCCACGCTATGGCAACGTGGAGTCCACGTGTGGGCCACGTGGAGTCCTCATAGGGGCCACGTGGTGGCCGCGAGGAGTCCATGTGATGGCCACGTGGTGGCCACGTGATGGCCACGAGGGGTCCACGTGCTGGCCACGTTGTGGCCACGTGGTGATTACTAGGAGGCCGCTAGGAGTCTATGTTGTGACCACGTGGTGGCCCCGTGATGGTCACGAGGAGTACACGTGGAGGCCATATGGTGGACAAGTGATGGCTACGTGATGGCCACGTGGTGGCCACGTGTATTCCACGTGGGGGCCACGTGGAGGACATGAGGTGTACTCGTGATGGACATGAGGAGTGCATGTTGGGACCCGTGGTGGCCACGTGGAGACCACGTGGTTGCCAAGAGGAGACCACGTGATGGCCACGTGGTGGACACGAAGAGTATACGTGGTGATTAGGTGGTGGCCACGTGGAGTTCACGGGTGGGCCACGTGGAGTTCTCATAGGGGCCTAGTGGGGTACACGTGGGAACCACGTGGAGTCCATATGGGGTCAACGTGGTGGCAACGTGGAGTCCTCATAGGGTCGACGTTGTTGCCACGAGAAGTACACAAGGTGGCCACGAGGAGTACACGTGGTGGCCACGTGGAATTCTCATAGGGGCCACGTGGTGTACACGAGGAATACAGGTAGTTGCCACGTGGTGGCCACGTTGTGGGCACGTAGTGGCCACATGATGGCCACGTGGATTCCACGTGGGGGCAACGTGGTGGCCACGTGATGGCTATGAGGAGTCCATTTTGTGGCCACGAGAAGTACACGTGGTGGCCACGTGATGGCCACGTGGAGCCCACATGGGTCCTCGTGGTGAACACGAGGCGTGCACGTGGTGGCAACGTGATGGCCACGAGGAGTACACGTGGTTTCCACGTGACGGCCATGTGGTGGCCACTTGGTGGTCACGTGATGATCACGAGGAGTACACGCAGTGGTAAATCGTGGCCCACGTAGGTGCAACGTGATGGCCACGAGAAGACCACGTTGTGACCACGTGATGGACACGTGGGGGTCAGGAGGAATCCACGTGCTGGCCACGTGGTGGCTACGTGGTAGCCACGTGGTGACCACGCGGTGGCTTCGTGACGGCCACTAGGGATCCACGCACTGGCCACGTGGTGACCACGTGGTGGCCGCGTTGTGTCCACGTGGTGGCCACGAGGAGTACACGTAGTGTTCACGTCGGGGCCACGTGGTGGCCACTTCGTGGACACGTGGTGGCCACGTGATGGCCACGAGGAATTCATGTGATGGCGACATGGTGGCCACGAGATAATCAAGAGGAGTACACGTGGTTTCCACATAATGACCACGAGAAGTCCACGTGTTGGACACGTGTTTGTCACGTGATGGCCACGTGGTGGCCACGTGGCGGACACTTGGTGACCACGTAATTGCCACGAGGAGTACACGTGGTGTCCGGTGAGGTCAGGTCTGATCAGCTCAGGTCAGGTCAGGTCAGATTAGGTCAGGTCAGGTCTGGTCAGTTCCTCCCTCGTGGTGGGCCGCCTTGTCGTGGCGAGGGGGCTTTGGGTCCAACTTGGATGCCTTACTAAGAGCCTACCGTACCCCGCGTAGATGGGGTACATAGTATGAATGGTGATAGTTGAATGAGGTGCGATGGAAGTCCGCTGGCGATTCCCCGGAGACTAACCAAGGGAGGGATAGTTCCCTCCTGACCGGGGTCGGTGGTAAGTCGAGTACCTGGGCCTCTGCCGGGGTAATAAGAGTAACTGTAAGTTCTGGCCTCGGCATAGGTCCCGTGAGCCGGCACGCATACTAGTGGGAAGGACCGCTGCCACCGACTTGATCGGAGCCTATCCGGGGGTCAAAGGCGGACGGAAGGCGCACGCGTGGAGGGGCGCCCGGTCAGCGTCCCTTCATACCCGTGCCGCGGCAGGTAAACCGCGGCACCGTCTAGCCCGGGGCCGGTGAAGCGCCCGTCGGTAGGGTGGCAGCCGGTAATAGGGGTGACGTTAAACCTCTAGCATAATTTTTGGCGCGGGCCTATCCCGTAACATTTTTAGTAGAATCATGCACCCAGCTAGGACTGACCATCCGAAGACCGCCTCTCGGCTGCCGGGTGGGTCAATAGGGCTTCTTAACGACGGGGAAGATGCCCCATCGCGGTGGGGCTCCCATGATGGGGGGCGAACCGTACTTTCAAATCTTACTAGGAATGGAATCCGCTATTAAACTTAAAAAACCGACGAAGAAGAGGAGCGAGGTGGGGAACAAGGAGTTGGAGGGGGCGAAAATCGTCCAGGAACGGCTACACAACCAAGCTGCAAGCGCTCCAAGTTCTGCGCAGAAAGAGGGGGAACAACAAACCCCAAGCACATCGCAGGTGATGCTAGTGAGATCAGAGTCCAGTACATCGCTGTCATCTATTGGCACTACGGACTCAACAGCCTCAGCGATCGCGGGTATGAAGCGATCGCGGAAGGAGCGAGAGGGGGGTAATTCGGGCTCGGAGGTTATGGGAAATGACGACGATGGATACGAAGAAATGTAAGGGCACGGGATTTTACCAGATCAGGAATCATAGCGGACGATTTAGTATCTACCCAAGGGAAACGAGGAAGCAATTCCTCAAACTAAACTCGCTGAGAGAAGCGGAAAGAGCGGCAATGGATCCCGATTTCCAGCTGCCCCAGAAGAGAGCTAAAAAGTTCTGAGAAATGAAACAGGCGTTCATAGAAGAATATACAGATCAACCAACGGATGATCTGAACACGGCTGTGGATGAAGGAGTCAACCTGATAGAGAAGTTGGCAAACACCGCCAACAACCTAAATGGAACGACTATAAAAGCGCTTTATGAGGCGGCCGCCAAAATAACCGCGGCAACCACTGTGATGAGCGAGAGGGCCCAGGGCACCCAGAACTCAGGGATGCTCGAGGAGATGAGGACAGAGATAAATGTCCTTAGGAAGGAACTGGAAGTCCTCAAGAAAAACCTGAGGGCGACCAAAGAAGAGAACAAGAAGCTGAGGGCTCAGAGGATTATAGAGTCCCCCGATCGAGAGAGGAGGAGGCACGCAAGACGCCTCGATTCCGACCACGAGTCGGATATGGAAATGGAGGATCCAGGGAAAGGTCCACAGGCGACGGAAATGGACACGGGGGGGGGGCACAAGCGGGTCCTTCGAGTGACCAGGCAACCGGAGAGCCTTTGCCACCGGTGTTCAGGCCCCCGCTCATGGGTGGCGTCCAGAAATCTGGACAACGGTTCGCTGGGCCCCCCCATGAGAACGGGGGGAGGCGACAAGGATGAACACGCGGACCCCAATGACGTAAGGGGTATTATTGTCTCAGTACTCAGGGAGTTAGGCGTGGTCAATGGGGAGACTATAAAAGTAGCCAAGACCGGTGGGAAGGGTCCCACAGAGGCAAAAGGTGGTTCTGGTAAGAACCAAAAGAAGAAGAAGTCAGGTGGCGAGTCAGGGGAGAAGAGTGCGGGATGCGTTCCTGCGAGAACACCTGCCAATGATCCCCAACCTCGTACCTCGCAATCGCAACCAACGCAGAAGGGTAGCGAAGTGTCGAGGAGGGAGGGGGATCGGACCGCGGTAGCCAAAAATGGCTCCGGGAATAAGGCACCTGCGAAAGGAAACAAGGAGAAGTCGGGTCGGGATAAGGAGGCTCCTCCCCCCCGAAAAAGTACGGACAAGGCCAAGAATGGTCTTGGGAAAACGCCTAAGATTGGCAAGCCGCCTAGGATGCCGGCGGTGGTTATAACGGCACCACCGGGGGGCTATGCGGAGGTTATGAAAGAGGCGAGGACCAGGATTAATCTCCAAGAACTAGGAATCCAAGAGGTCAGACCCAGAAAAGCGGTCACTGGGGCCATGATCCTAGAAATCCCGGGGGATAAAGAGGGGAGCAAGGCTGATGCTCTCGCAGGAAGGCTTTGCGAGCTGCTGGCCTTCAGAGAAGGAGTTAAGATAACCAGGCCCCACCGAAGAGTAGATCTCCGGATACGGGACCTGGACGATTCGGTCAGTGTGGAGGAGATCGCGGAGGCGATAGCCACGCTAGGGGCTTGCGCCAAGGACCTGGTGAAGGTAGGCCCCATTAGGCGGGCAGCAGGCGGACTGGGACAGGGCACCGCGTGGATACAATGTCCCATACTGACGGCAAGGAAAATTACGGCGCAGAGAAGGATAAAGATCGGATGGCTCTCCTACCGGGTAGACGTTCTACAACAGCGAAGGGTGCAGTGCTTCAAGTGCCTAGAGGCCGGACACACAAGTGCCAGATACAACAGCGGAACGGATAGGAGCCAATGTTGCTATCGATGTGGTCAAGCTGGTCATAAATCCAGCGAGTGCGACCGCCCGGCGGAGTGCCCCTTGTGCAAAGAGGCGGGAAGAAAGGCGGACCATAAAATTGGATCCAGGGGGTGCAACGCGAAATCCGGCAGGAAAGCAAGCGCTGCACCCACAAGGAGTGGAGAGGGGAGCGGCGGGGCGAAACCACCAAGCTCTTCTATCTCGCAGGGCCCCTCTGGGGTACAAAAATCCTCGCCTCCGGAACCGGGGGTAGCAGAGGCCCCGAAGGAGAAGAGGCTCGCATAACATCTACGAGTGCTGGCAGGGGTAGCGAATAGACCCCGATGGAAATAGGCTTGGAGGAAGCTATAGCTGCGCCGCAATGTCCCTAAAACTAGTGCAAATGAATCTAAACCATACGGCGGCGGCACAAGATTTACTGCTGCAAGCTATGGCCGAGAAGTGGGATCTGGCAATAATATCGGAACCCTACAGAGTCCCAGAGCATCCCCACTGGGCTGGGGACACGGAGGGGCTGGCGGCGGTAGTTTGGGCGGGGAGCGAGAACTCGCCCCCCATCCAGGTACTGGAACGAGATAGGGGATACGTGGTGGTGAAGTGGGGAAGCACGATCACAGCGTCGTGCTACGCATCCCCGAATAAGAGTACGGAAGCTTTCGAGAGGTACCTCGATGGATTGGAATTGGCGGTGCGATGAAACATGGGCCCCCCTACGATTGTGGCGGGCGACCTGAACGCCAAAGCAAGAGCCTGGGGATCGGGAATCACAGACGCCAGAGGCGAGTTGCTCCTCGACTGGATGGCAAACCTGGGGCTGTCTGTCATGAATCAGGGCCAGGCGAGCACCTGCGTACGGTGGCAGGGGGAGTCTGTCGTCGACGTGACGTTGGCGACCCCTGCCGCATGCCGTAGAATAGCAGGATGGCACGTGGACGAAGATCGGTTCACTTATTCGGACCACAGGTACGTAAGATTTGAGTTAGGCCTACCGGGAAGCCGGGAGCGTCAAGAGCGGGTCGTGAGCCGCAAGAACAGAGGATGGGCGGTAAGACATATCGATGAAGACATGTTTGAGGCGGCAATGCAGGCTGGTAGGTGGTCAGCGGATGCCGTGAGAGCGGGGAAAGCTAGTCTGGAGGAAAGAGCAAGGAACGTGCGCGAGACCCTGTGGAGAGCGTGTGATGCGTCGATGCCGAAGAAGAGAAGTGTACGGAAAAAAGCTCTCTACTGGTGGAACGAACAGATAGCGGAAACCAGGAGAAGAGCTGGAAGGATTAAACACCAACTCACCAAAATGAAAAGGCGCGGTCGTGAGGAGGAGGCTGTCAGGCTCCGAGAAAACCTCAGGGAGGTAAAAAAGGAGATGAAAGCATTAATACGCGACGCGAAAGAAAAGGCTTGGACAGAGTTCGTCGAGACCCTGAATAAGGACCCATGGGCCAGACCCTATAAGTTGGTCATGGGTAGACTCAAGCCCTGGACGCCTCCGATAACGGAGACTCTGGAGCCGGAGGCAGTAGAGCGTATCGTGGCGGAGCTCTTCCCGGGGGACGACGAACTGCCCCCGCGGAGGTACGAGCTACCGGCTCCCTGGAGGGAAAACTGGCAAATGAAGGAGGAAGAGATGGTGTGGGCGGTGAAAAGGATCGGGGGGGTCGCCAAAGCGCCGGGTCCCGACCGCATCCCCGGAGCTGCCCTCAAAATGGCCATCCCACATGTCGGGGAGGACATAAGGGAGCTGATGGAGGGGTGTCTCCGAGAGGGGCACTTCCCAGAGATATGGAAAAAGGCTACCCTGGTCTTAATCCCTAAAGAGGGGAAACCGGCTGGCCTCCCTTCGTCTTACAGGCCCATCTGCCTTATTGACGAGAGCGCGAAGGTCTTCGAGCGTGTCATAGCCGACAGAATTGGAAAACAACTGAGACGCAACCCTACCATGGGGAAAAATAAACTGTCCGAGCGCCAGTTCGGATTTAGAGAAGGCAGATCGACAGTGGATGCGATCAAGTTCGTCAGGGAATGGGTAGAAACTGAGACGGCAGAAGGAGAGGTAGTTTTGGCTGTCTCACTAGACATCTCCAACGCTTTTAATTCGATCCCGTGGAGGTGGATCATGAGAGCGATGGAGGAGACGTTTGGTTCTACCAACATATTTGGTAGAGCCGTCCGGTCAAAGAGATTGCTACGAGGGGTCCCGCAGGGCTCTGTCCTGGGTCCACTTTTGTGGAACCTAGCGTACGACAGGGTCCTGCGGACATCGCTGCCCCCCCGCTGCACCATGGTCTGTTACGTAGACGATACCTTGGTGCTAGCGGTGGGGGAAGACTGGGAAGACGCACTGGCGACGGCCAATTTGGCCACAGCCAGGACGGTAAAAGCAATTAAGGCGATGGGCTAGAGGGTCGCGGCTCACAAGACCGAGGCGATGTACTTTTACAAAGCGTCCACGGGAGGGCCACCCCAAAACACGATCACAGTGGATGGGGAGGAGATTAAGATAGGACGATCCATAAAGTACTTAGGATTGCACCTGGACCCGCTGTGGAGCTTCCTGCCGCACTTCAGGAAGCTGATTCCGAAGGCGGACAAGATGCGTGCGCACTGGCGAGGCTCTTGCAGAACTTGGGAGGACCGGGAGCGGCGGTGAGGAGGGTCTATGCCGCAGTTACCCACTCGGTGCACCTGTACGGGGCACCGGTGTGGGCGGAAGAGATGGATGGGTCGGCACAGCTGCGCCGTATAACCCATGGATGCCAGAGGCGCATAGCCCCGAGAATAGCAAGAGCATACAGGACGGTATCCTTCAGCGCGGTAACCGTGCTAGCGGACATCCCGCCGATAGAGAGCCTGGCCGCTATGTACGCCAAGGTGTACCACTGGCGGAGGGCGTTCAGAGCGGCAGGGCGAAAGATAACCTCCACGAGAATGGAGGAGGCGAGACGCAGGGCGAGAGCTAAGGCCCTGGCTGGCTGGAGGGAATCTCTCAGAGACGAGAGACTGGCGGGGGCACGTACGCTGGACGCGATCCGGCCCGTGTTCCCCGCTTGGATCGTCAGAAGATACGGGCAGCTCTCCTTCCACCTCACGCAGATATTAACAGGCCACGGCTGTTTCGGGGCCTATCTGCAGAGGATCGGAAGGGAGCGAAGTGCCCAATGTCATCACTGCAGGCGCAGTGTCGTGGATGACGCGCAGCACACCCTCCAGCATTGCGAAGCCTGGAGGGAGGAGCGCGCGGAACTACAAGAAGAGGTGGGCCAGGATCTGGCCCCGACGGCTCTGGTAAGAACCATGATGAGTGGAGAAAGCGCTTGGCGCGCCGTAGCAACGTTTGCTATAAAAGTGATGACCGCCAAAGAAAGGGCGGAGAGAGAGAGAGAG